GTATGAATATGTTAAAGGTATACTACTTGCGTGTCTCGTTTAATTCAAATACATACCTCATAAGGGCGTCGAATAAAAAGTTTATAAGGATACGTGATTGGCGTTGTTTCGTTGCGTGATCGTAATCAGAGAGAATTCGGTTCGTTCTTTATGAGTTCCTAAGTTGGTCGATAATATTACTGACTCATGGTTTGTCAACTTCCGCTTTTTTTTTTTCTTTTTCCCTCCCACCCCTATGTTTTTTGTCTTTCTTTATATATATCTATACATTTGCAACAACAAAAAATCATTAGAACTTTCGCGTGCTCGTTATTTTTTTCTATCTCGAAAAAAAGAAATTCAATAACCCACTTATGTTAGATTTTTCTATACCGTTTATTTAAATACCCCTTGTCTCCGTATTTCAAAACGTTTCAAATAATTAAAGCACCAAACGCAAAAAAAAAAGAACGTTATAGTGAATAAAATATTTATAACGACTGTTACGAGGCGAACGATTAATAATCGACTCCCCTCGTAGTATATTGTTTGAATACGTTTAATAGCCAGTTTAGATTTATTCGAAGATCTCGTAGTAATTTTTCTCGATGGTATTATATATATCGATCATCGATAGATTATAATCTTTTTCACGATTAATAAAACAATTTCTGTGCTCGAACGAACGATTATTGCCTACTACTACGCCGTCGCTGTCGTATCTTTAGGATCTTTGTAACGATATCACGTAACATAGCGATCATTCATTATTAATTAATCCATGCTGCGAAACTGATTTATGAAAAAAAAAAAAAAAAAAGAAATAAAAAACGAATATAACTAATTGTAAAAGAAGTAAAAAGAAGGGAAGGGGGCAAAGCTTTCGAATATTTTACACAATAAATCTTAAGCAACGCTTGTATGTAAGGATCACGTAGTTTGTTGTGTTCGTCCGTGTTTATTACGTACCCTCTATGCAATTAGTTACGGCCGAAGATTCTGTGCAATTACGTTAACCGGGTTGGCTCGAACTATATCCAGAGCGCAAATGTTAGATTACATTGGCATTCCTATGACTGGAGTGGGAGAAGAAAAAGAAGAAGAAGAAGGGGTGGGGGGGGGGAGGTGGTGATGGTGATGGTGGTTGAGGAGAAGGAAAAGGTGGAGGAAGGACTGCGTTTTCGCTTACGTTGGTTAGCCATTGCTTGTTGCGCTGGCACACACATTCGTATATGTGTAAGAATGAAACAATGCGAGGTGAGAGTTTGGCGAGTTGCATATAAGGCGGTCGCATCGATAACATGCATATGCATGAACCTTCCTCCTTCTGATATCCTCTTTCTTTCTTTACCCTCCCCACCCACCCATCCTCCTTCCTTCTCATAGAAGTGCATCGACTGACTCATTAAAAAGAGTCAAGCTTTTTGTTTCGATTCGAAGCCCCTACTCACCTCGTCGATCTTTTTAATTCCGTTCGATAAAATAAACGAGTTCCGAGTCCTCCGTATACCGTGTGTACCCGAGTATTATAGAAGCTCGTTTTCTGGGTTGAATCTTATTTGCTTTTACGTTATAGGAGAGAGAGAAGTCTCTCCGTTCTTGGAATAAACCTAATGGAATTGATCCAAAGACGAGGATTACACTTTGTAGATATAGGGTTATAAAGGTATATAAGTATATATCATCGTAGCGGCATATGAAATACCCTGCCGATATTATCTAATTGCTACGTTTATAATGGAATCGAAATGCATTTTGCTCCGAGTAAAACCATCTCGGCCGGTATCTTATTAAACATCATTATTGTTTCAACATACACACGATATAGGTATTTCGTAATAATCTTATAGTGAACTTTTATTCGCACTTAACGGCCTTGCCTTTTGTATTAGCCGAGTGACACGGCTCTTATGTTTCTTGCGTGTGGGTGTCACTTACTTTTCCCGCCTTGAAAAATCCTTTCACTGTGTGTTTTGTTACATCGTTGTTGTGTTGAACACTTATTATATATAGGTAGATACGTTTAAGAAACCAAAACGCGTATAAAACACCGAGAAATCTTGCGAGTTGGTCCATCGTATTCATAAGACGACCGGCCTCGTAACTTAAACGTAATTATTATTGAAATAAACAACCGAGCTCGACATTGTCCTTGGGGAATTCGTTCGAAAATTCGTGAGAAATAAGATTCACGATCAAAAAGAGGAACTCGTTGGAAGGAGTTCAAAAGAATGAATACTATACGATGAATCTCGGAGATCTTAAACGTCGAAACTTTTCAAAGCCAAACCACCCGCCCACTCACCCACTGCCACGACAAGAACGAAGGATTCTAATTCGCCACGTGCCAACGAGTCAAACGAACATTTCAATTTCTTCGATCGAAGAAGAGAGAGAGAGGGAGAGGGAGAGAGGGCCATTAACATTTTTTAGGTGAGTCATCGTTCTTGGTTATATCTTCGCTGTAGACGATTTAACAACAATTGATCGTGTTTTATGAAGGATTTGGTAACGTTTAACGATTGTTCTAACGACGCTGTGTTACAATACATTTTCCCCCTTTTAAAAAAAAAAAGACAAAAAAAATACAATAAGATGTGTTGCACAGCGTGGCTTACGAGCCTTACTACCACCATTGACGAGTCTACTTGTAGCTTAATTAATTAATTAAATTAATTAATGGAGGAAAGTTTCAAGTAACACTCGAGATGCACCAACGTGTGCCGGTTGGTTGGTTGGTTTCTCTGTGCGAACTATAGGACAACGAATGCCAATGTATACGAGTTTATTGAGATACAGAAAAGAAAGCAAATAAAAAATAATTAAACAATAAGAGAAGAACTCGCGTGCTTTGACGATGCTTGAAAATTTCTTTCCACGCATACGTCGGGGATACAAGGAAGAAATGACCTGCATGAAGGAAGTCCCATTAGGAATGTTAATCGCGTTAATTACGGTCCAGACTCGGTTAATTAGGAAATAATTATGTCCATTTATTAATATCTCACCAGTCACGAAACAGCCGACGACTTAAAATTCCGTCTTATATTATATATATATATATGTGTGTGTGTAACACATTTACAACACACTTACACATACGTACTTGATCATATCTATTTTGGATAACAAGGTATATGTCTCTTCAAATGATGTATTTTCGACTCTGTTATTCCTGAAAACCTTTTCCCCCTTACAAAGATACCCTTGAGCTTCTTTTTTAATATAGCTGTTCATTGGTCCTAAGTTTGAAGCATGACGGATATTCCGTTTCATTCTAATTTAACACTAAGTTTTCATTTTATCCCGAGTCATCGTAAACAAGCAGCAATATCAACAGCAACACCAACAGCAACAGCGCGCAGCATCATCCCTCCTCGATCTTTAATTTCATTTCCATTTTACGACGCCTGCCTGGCCTGAAGATTTTCGAGAAATAGCATCGCACTTAACGTGTAATTTAGAGCCCGTAAATTTATCTCGCTTCCTTTCACATTTACCAAGTGAATTCGTTTAAAATCATTCGTCGCCAGAGAATTACATGGGAATAACGAGATTAATTAGAGATAAAAGAAAGACAGAAAGAAAGAAAGAAAGAGAAAAAACGATCGTAAGATCTTTTCCTTCTTTTCTTTCTCTTTCTCTCTCTCTTACTGACACTTTTTGTATTTCACAAGTTAAAAAGAAATTGAATTTTTCTTATCGAAGTTCTCGCGTCAGTAGTAAACATCTGGAAGCGTGGTCGGTCTCTGGCTTTGACCACAGAACGTCCTTCATCCTTCACCGATCTCTAACGCGTATCGCCTCATGTTCCTTCTATTTCTCTTCCCATCTCCCCCATCTTCCCACCCCATCCCATCCCCATTTACTTCCCTCTAGCTGCGGAGAACCACGGAAATCGCATTATCATCGTCTCTCGTGGCACTTACGTGAGACTACAATACAAATGGACGAGAAAGCATAGAAAGCCGTTTCCGAGAGTGCTATTACCCTGCCCCGAACACCCCACCCCACCCTCAAACCTCCCCTCATTTGGATGATCTATATAATATAGGACGTTGAATATCGAGATTTTAGAATTTCCAAATTACGTGATACTTGTTAGAATTGATAATAAGTTTTAAAAACACATTTACAATGTAAGATAGTAATAGCTAGCCTAACTGTTGTCACGCGTTCGGAAATTCTGAAATGTATTTATTTCTTTTTTGTTTTTTTTTGTCACACACACACATACCACACACACACACATCTTCCATAAAGCCCCTCGTCGTCTCCTCCCTTCGTAGTGTGGCCACCCTTCTCACCCCTGCCCCACCCCATATGCTTTTATATGCCGCCCGGTAAGCTTTGCCTTTTTATTTTTTTATTTTTTTGTGTGTACTGTCATTATTCTTTTTCTTTTTCATTTTTTAAGTTTGCCGTCTATCCCTACCCTATTCCTACTTTTTGTTCCAGATTTCGTACGACCCGACGTCGTACGTAAGAAACAGGAAGAACGCGTTCGCCATCGTGGATGATGTTGTAGCCCCTGGGTTACTTATCGACGAGTCATACGTCGAGGATGCACGTCGTGAGAATAATATCAAGAGTCGACGAAGAGAAGGAAAAAGGAAGGAAGAGAAGAACAGCAGCAGCAGCAGCAGCAGCTGGTCGTTCTGTTGAAGAGAAACTTTGCCCGGTTCATATTATTCGTCCTCGTGGTTGTTGTCTTCGTCGTTGGATATTATTAACAAGGCAACGACCGATAAAAACACTGCCAGGGTAACGAACACCCAACAGTCGTGCGTGCCAACCTGAGCCGTCCGTTAAATCGCATAACGTCGCCATAACTTTGCGTCATTCGTTAGTCTTTTCACTTTTCACTACATATTCCGTAGATAAATCGGAAACAGTTAACCGACTTCGAGACTACATACATTTGTTTATCTCTTTCTCTCTCTATCTCTCTCTCTTTCTTTTATTCTTACACAGAATCCTCTTTCTTTCTATATCTTTTTTTATCTCTATCTATCTATCTATCTATCTCTATCTTTTTCTTTGTCTGTCTGCCTGTCTGTCTGTCTTTCTCTCTCTCTCTCTCTCTTTCCATCTTACCGGCTTTTACTCCCGCGTACGCGTTGGAAGATCAAAGAGCAAAGAAGAAGAAGAAGAAGAAGCAGCAGCATCAGCAGCAGCAGTAGTAAAAGTATAAGAAGAAGAAGAAAAGAGAAAAGATGTTAGGCGTGAGTCAGCCGAGCAATCCGCCCTCGAGCTTGCGTCATTCCGCGAGCTTCTCCTGTCTACAAAGGAGTACCGTCGGCGAGGGTCATCGTGCAAGAACCTCGACATTGTTGCAACAACCGAGCCTCCAACTTACCAACGGCCACCATCATCATCATCATCATTCTCAGCAGCAACAGCACCAGCAGCAGCAGCAGCAACAGCATCATCATCATCATCAGTATTCGTCCGGTCAGAGCGGTTCCTTGCTTCAACAGTCGAGTAACAACGTTCAGCAACGACAACAACAGCATCGAGGAATCGAGACCGATGCGATACAAGACAGTAACGATTACGGTTTTGTCAAAGTCAGACCACGTTTGCGAAGCACCAACGCAACGATCTTTCACGAGGAGGAGGTGGCCGCTGCCAAAAGTGCATTTAGAGATCGAGACGCGTCAGCTTTCAGTGATCGCGAGTGCGAGCCCTCGAGCTTTCGCGAATTATTGAAAACGAAGGATCGCGAGCAATCCCCGAAGAGCGCTAGCTCGACGAAAAATCAGAATCCGTTGAAGGGTGCCCTGATATTGTTCACGTCTACCTCGTCTTGGTGGAAAGCGAGACAACGAGAGGAACAGCTAAACGGCGGGGTCGGTGGGTCTTCGAGTTCGGTGACCACCACCACCAGCAGCACCACCACCACCACTTCAATTTTGCCCTCGTCCGAGCGAAAGTGGTCGAGCACCTCGATGGCGGCGGCGTCACCCTCCAACGAGAGAAAGTGGCCGTCCTCGATGACGTCACCCACCATGGGGGAACGGAAGTGGTCCGTCGGTAACAGCGTATCTTTGACGTCACCGAGCAACGAGAGGAAGTGGACCAGGTCCTCGGTTTCTTCTAGCTCGACCAACGTTCTAGCTAACAGCACCGGTGGAGGAGGGCAGGCACCGCCGCAACAACAGGATAGGAAATGGCGCTCCCTTGGTGCCCTTCTTCGAGCTCCCACAGTTGGCGGAGGAAGTTCGACTTCCTCGCACGCGACCGCTGCCTCGCTTCAGAACTCATTTTCTTCTCACAACATGAGCGTCTCGATGATTGAAAACAGCACGGTCGAACGTTCGAGGGAGGAACAATCCCGCGGCTCGGCTAGCAAATCTTCTTCGACCGCGAGGTATCAACAACAACCGAGCTCTTACTCGGCTCGTGTCTCCAGAGTCACCAGGGATATATACAGAGAGAACGGCGAGTTCTCTGTTCAAGCTGCCAGGACCAAGGTCAGTCGTAGATTATATCAAGAACTTAGCGAGGCTGTCGGTAATAGTAACGCGACATCCGCGGATCGAGAAATCGTCGAGGAAACCGCCGTCGCCGGTAGGCACTCGCTTGCGAGACATCATCAGTTCAAGGACGAGTGCAGAGGTAGAACAAATCGCGAGAGCTTTTGTAGAATCGATCATCAGACTGCCGATACTCGTACAACCGGTACCGCAACTACTAGCACGTCATCCTCGACTACGAGATCGAGCAGGGCTCAAAGTTTTTATCTTTTGGATGACTTTTTGAAACCGCAGCCCCAACAAAACAAGTGCACATTGAATCTTTACTTATCTTCGCCTTATTCGAAATCCGTCGAAACTAAAAGAGCATCCCAAGGTAACGTCACTACGAACATCACACCTCCTAGGCGTCACAATTCCAGTTCGGATAGTCTCGAGGTTGCTACTAGTCCTTTGCCGCCGCCTGTACCGCCTCCGCCACCTCAGCTAGGTACTAGGGAAAGAGATAGAGGTGAAAATTTCAAGGAGAAGGAAGTGTGTCCATGCAACATGTGTTGGGCTTCGTTGCAGCAGAGATCATTCGCGGAAGAGGTAAGTCCTTCGTTCGCGAAGGAAGGTCGTAAGCTTTCAAACTCTTATTCTTCTTCTTCTTCTTTTTCTTCTTCTTCTTCTTCTTCTTCTTCTTCTTCTTCTTCTTCTTCTTCTTATTATTATTATTATTATTATTATTATTATTATTTAACTCGGTTCTATTACTATTTTTACGATGAATTATCACGAAACAGGTGTATACTTAGATGAAAGTGTTAATCAAGACGGAAAAGTTTTATAAGTTGATCCTTAATCGTTGCGATTTCCTGTTGTTGATCAAAGAAAGAAAGAAAGAAAGAGAAACAACTTTGGTCATGGCTCGTAATCGATAATAAGAAACAACGAAGTAGTAAATTATGGGAGACACTCGAGAAGCCGGTCTTATAATAAATTTGTCCTATTTTTCTTCTTTTTTTTTTTCTCTTTCGTTTTTATTATTTTTTTTGTCGAACTACAGAGAAAATGCTCGAGGTATAATACTTAACTCTTAACTCGCGAATCCCGTTCGCTTTCTTACGGAATAAATAAATAGCTAGGTGGAACTTCAAATCTCCCCCACTCGTGCATGGTTGAGAAAGGACAGAGAAATAAGAAACCGAGGGAGAGAGAGAGAGAAAGAGAGAGAGAGAGAGAAAGAGAGAGAGAGAGAGGTTTCGTCGATTGTAATATCGTCTGGTAACGGGAGATCGACTCTCTCGTTATCAACCTCTTGACCTGTTCGGTAAGAAACGCCTGAGCTTTTCCTTCTACAACTCAACGTTATAAGGATTCTTTGATTTTTCCTCAAGCTATCGAAAATTCGGGAAAATAATACACTCGAGTTTCTATATAAAGTCTCGTGTAGCAAACGTAAAACGCAATTATTTTCTTTTTCTCTCGAATTCTCGATAAAAATCGAAAAAAAAAAAAATAAACGAAAATGGAACAATTTTGTTGAAATTTTTATTGAATAGTCGCACGATCGAAATTCTAACCAAATTTATCGATTTCCAATAGTATTCTGTTGGAGAAAGAAAGAAAGAGAGAAAGGAAGGGAAAATATTCTTTCGCTAACTTTTTGTGAACAAAATCTATATGATATAACAGAACAAATTTTTATTTTCAATTGTCATGAATTGTCGATACCTTTATCAACATGTTTATTATTAAAAGTTTCCAAATTTCATCAAATTCTTTACTATCTCTCTATCACACACACACACACTTTATTTTTGCGATCATTCAATATTTTCTTAATTTATTTCGTAATAAATCTTAAACACCATGCTATAGGAGGAGAAGATAGACAAATAAATAAAATCGAAGACTATGATAGACGGGTAAATATACCATAGGATTAAAGTAGTCAGATAACAACGCAGAGTTTAAATACTAACACGGCGGAAGATTTCTATGCAATTATATATAGATTGTTTTTAGGGAATTGTACGTGTTTAGATTTAGCTATGGTTAAAATATCAAATCGAGAATGAAAGAGACAGAAAGAGAGAGAGAGAGAGAAAGAAAGAGAAGGAAAGAAAGAATGAAAGATAAAATATATCAGGACATAAGCGACATTAAACAGTGGCAAACTTGTATAAGGAACAAACAGCGTCTCGTTTAATTACTACTCGTTTAGTATAAGGTAGGTAGGTATAATGTTCGTTCGGATGAAAAGCTGGTATTACGGGAGGCTGCTAAGCTGTAATTAGTTATCGACTATCGAACCTATTCACCAGTTACTGCCGGTTTTCTTCAGAAGCGTAAGTAGAGATTATTAATAAAAAGAAAAAAAAAAAGAAAAAAACAAAATCTATAAAATACAGGTAGAATAGAAGAAAATAGAAAACGATTTTATTCGATATATTCATCTTTCGATGAATAAAAATATCACATTGTGTTTGTTTCTCTTCCCTTTTCTTTCAGTTAAATTACAATCTCGTTGATGAGATATGCAATTTTTTAAAAAAATATCAAGACTCTATCTCTGGTAATACTAGTTCAGGTTATCGATTTGTTTGAAAATTCGAAGAAAAGTAGGATGAGAAAGTAACCCTAAAAAAAAAAAAAACCAAATGTTTATGCGTTGGCAAGTAAAGCGTGTGCGCCACTCGAGACTTCCGAACAATTTATTAAAAAACCGATAGTTGGAGACGCGGAGAGGAAGATAGAGGGTGAAAGGGGAATTGAATAGAAGAAAGCAAGTGTGAAGGTCTCTCGACGTAGAATAGAATCGTCGAAAAGAGGATGAGTCGTGGAAGGATCTATCCGATCACGTTTTGGCTTCCTCACTCTCGTGCAATGTGGTCAGCTGAGACTTATAGTTGTGAATAAGTGGAAGCATGTGTGTGCGCATGTGGAATATACACTGTGTTTGAACTGTGCCTCATTTCTCTCTCTCTCTCTCTCTCTTTCTTTCCCTCACTTTATTTCTATTTTTCCCTTTCTTATTCTTATTCTTATTCTTGTTCTTCTACCCTAGGGATAATGCATCTAACGCAAGCCCGTTATTCTTAGGACGATCGCGAACCGGGGAGGAAACCGACTCTTGCCGTAGGAAGTCGTATTTCTATCCATCCGAGTATCTTTACTCTATTATTAGTAGTCCACTGCCACGTAGGTAGACGTTTAAACTGGATTTCCGTTCGATTTTAAAGACTGCCGTTGCGCTGCATCGTCTTCTTATCCCCCTCCGGCATTTATATACATATTTTTTTGTTCCTACTACTATCATCTCCCGTTCGAAGTAACTCTCTTTTTTGGTTTCCTTTTTTTTCTTTTTTTTTTTCTGTCAGCAAATTTCTAAGATACTTCGTAACCGGGACTTTTTTACGAAAATGGATTTGTTTTTTTTTTTTATTTTTATTCTAATTTATCGGATATAAAAATTTTACGAGCTCAAAGGAAAGGGTAACGTGTAAATACTTTATATCTCCCGTATATTAGATATTGATTTGAATTGATTGTATTTCAAATAGTATATCTCGTTCGTGAAACGTTAGAAAATATTCGCATAGATCATAGAACAATGTCTGGAACGATCGCAGTGCCCTGCTTTTATCGATGATGACTATATTCTTCTTCTTCTATCGTCTATTTTCAATTATTTTCATCGTATATTATTTTTCTTAACGCGATATAAAAGCGACCTAGGTGAGGGACGCGTGACCTTACGCATCCGGTACTACTCCGGAGAGGCATTTTCATTGGGCCCGTTGAAAGGCATGTAGATTACTACTAATTTGCCGTCTGCCTTCGCAAATTACTAGTCATTTTTTCTTCGCCGTTAAGAACCATGGCGTTAAATTCGTATGATCGCGAATATGGTGAAAGAAAGAGAACAAGAAAAAAATAAAAGGAAAGGCGTTAGGATGGAAGTTGGGATTGGGAGTAGGGTGGTGTAAAGAAAAAAAGAAGAAGAAGAAAAAGATTGAACAACGCCCCGTATACTTTAAAAAACAGTATGCATATTTATTTTCTTACTCTATCTTTGCAAGTATCTATCTTCATTCTCAGTTTGATTATGGGTTCCATGGAAAATAATACTTGCGAAGTGTGATTAAGTTGAGATAGTCTACGATAGTTCTCGATGAAAAATAAAAAGTTAACGCATTTTAACGCGTATTATATTTACGTCTATTTATACCCCTTTTTCATCGTGTGACAACGATTACCAACAGACATAATATAGAAAAAACTTGATCATTTTTCTAAAGAGAGAAAATACAAAAAAAAAAAATAAAAAACTCTCTGCTTAATCCATCGATACGTTAATCCTTTGATTGTCATGCAACGTATACAATTGATAATACGATTTTTAAATAATCATTTATCGCATAAATTTTTTCGTCGTAAACTTTGATGAACCTTTTTTTTGTCCTCAAATCACGATGGAATAATAATAAACGTGTTCATTGGATTCCTCGTTATGGCCGATAAAGCTGCAACAACCTGGGAACACCACCGGTCTGGTGAGAATCCGTATTCAACGACGACGACTTCTAGAATTGAGAGAATGAGAGAATGAAAGAGTGAGAGAGAGAGAGAGAAAACTCAAATCGATTCCGCATCCTGTATTCACGGCTTTCGAACGATTTTGCATACGCGTTGAAAGAGAGGAGAAAGAGGAGAGTAGTGCAACAACACTTTGTAGCAAAGCTTACGTTATATCAGACCATAAACATTCTCGTGTAGGAGTTTATCCTTCCATGATTTCTCTCTTCTCTCTCTCTTTTTATCTTTTTCTCTTCTTTTATCTTTTTTTGTACGCTTCACGCGTTCGTCTAAACGCGAATATAACTACGTGACAGGATGAATGGGGGATTCTTTCTCGAATTTTCCATGATAACCGACTGGTTGAATTATTATTGAGAATGATATTGCATGAGGTTTTTTTTTTTATATGTTACACCGCGGTGACTGGAGAAAATATATTTTTTTTTCTTTTTCTTTTATACAATAATAAAATTTATCCATAAAATTTTAAAGTAAAATTTTTTCTTGTTTATCTCGAAACGAGTCTCCTTCCTTTCTTCTTTCCTTCCTTCTTTCTCCTACTGTCTCTTTACAATTTTCACAAGTATCAATGACAATTACATTTGTCGCGTGAATTTATTTATCTCTCTCTTTTTCTCGTACAAGATAATAATTAAACGATTCTCGGGTATTTAATATATTACCATTTTATTTAACATCGTTTATATTTTTCATCGTTTCGAATCTCTCTCTTAGCCCGCAAAAGTATATAATAATAAAAGTTTATCGAATCATTTCGATCTCTCCTTCGAATTTTATTTCAAACGATGATATTTAAAATACTCGTTAAAAAAAGAAAAATACTTTAAAAGGCCAGAGCCACGACTCGGATCATGTCAATGACGATCATATTTAACAATCTTACAGGAAGCGCGTTAAAGGCGTTGAAAGAAAACGAACAAATGATGATGATGATGGTGGTGGAGGAGTAGGAGGAGGGGGGGGTAGAAAAATGGTGTCAGAAGGATTAAAAGACGAGAGAGTTA